CCAAGGAGGGAGAAGGGACTGACGGGCTGCCCTTCTCCCTTCTCGGGGAAAAGCCCCCAAGAGCCCCACACATGCTCCACGCGGCTCGTGAAAGGGAGCGCTGAGCAGAGCCTCCCGCCTGCATTCGCTCCATAAGACGCACACACATTTCCCCTTACTTTTTAGGAGGGGGAAAGTGAGTCTTATAGGGCGAAAAAATACAGTATATACAGCCAGGGAGTTTCTTCCAGCTGAAGAGAAAAGGCATGAAACAAATGTCTCTGAATAGACAAATAGGATGTCCTGCTCTAACACTTTTACCTCGTTCCCTTTCCTAAAAGAAGAAAATTAAACCGAAATGTAGGTTGTGATGCTGAGCTCTGCCTCTCTCACCTTGTAGAAGGAGTCCATGGAGAGGAGAACCACCCAGGGCACGTCCAAGGCCTCGATTATCATCCTGGCCACAGTGGTCTTCCCCGAGGCACTGCCTCCGCCGAGACCTGGGTCGGGGGTGCAGGAAGATGTAAAGGAATCAGCTTAGTTTCAGTTTCGTCTGTTTATTAAGAACATATTTTTGTCAACCTTCCTTTATCCTGACAGATCCCAGGGCAGATTAGGAAGCCTATTTTTATTGATTATTTTATTGATTAAATTTGCATACTGCCCTTCATCTTTTTGCAGAAAGCAAGGTTGCAGCCTTCGCTTCTTTTATCGCTTTTTGTATATAATTTTATTATGTTTTCTGTTTTACAATTTAACATTTTACATCCTTAAGGTATCAATGACTTCCTTTTTGCTCTTTCCATGGTTCATTTTACACATCATAAACCCCTGCAAATTTTACAAAAAAAAAAAACTATACCATTCAGTATTCCATTATTACATCCATCAAAACTTATTTACACTGTTGAATTTATCTTAATGCTGCCAACGTTTTCAGCTGTACACAATTATTTCCCATATATTCAGTCAACATTTTCCCATACTCTTTAAATGCATGTTCTTCTTGTTCTCTTATTCTATATGTTAAGTCTGCGAATTGTGCACATTCTGTCCACTTAAGTTGCCATTCTCCTTTGGTTGGGACTTGGCTCGTTTTCCATTTTGGGGCTAACGAAACACGGGCCGCAGCAGTGGCATACATAAAAAACCTTTTTTGACACCTGAGAATTTCAGTCTGAATTATCCCCAATAGAAAGGACTCTGTTTTTGGGGGGAACGTACTATTAAACACCCCCCGATTCATTATGTATCATTTCCCAATACTCTTTCACCCTTTTACAAGTCCACCACATGTGGAAGAACGTTCCCTCGACCTCTGGGTGCAGACTTTGTTTCAATCTTGTGTTTACTGATAGCTCAGTCCTGGGAGTCTATGCCCCCCCCCCCACTCCCCGAATATTGCCAGCATATTGAGGAAGCAACTTGCTTATCTGAATCTCTCTCTGGTCCTAGTTCTTGGACTATATCAACAGGCATTAAGTTAAAGAAAACTGGACTGAAAGTGTCCTTTCATACTGCATCACGGTGTGGTACGCTGGTTTGACATCAGCTGATAGGAAGTGCCTACAGAGGGTGGTGAATACAGCACAAGATATTATGGGCTGTCCTGTGAATCCGCTGGATGAAATAGCAGAAGAACGTTGCCTCAGGAGAGTGAGGAAAATTCTCAGGGATGATTCACACCCTGGCTGGCCCTCAGGCAGAAGATATAGAAGCAGGATTAGTCGCACCAACAGGGTAAAGAACAGCTTCTATCCGTGGGCTGTTAGGCTGCTGAATGAAAAGATAACAACAGGGCAACTGACTTTCGGGTTTGGTGGGTGTGCGTCAGTAAAGGAGGGGAATTAAGACTAAGAGAGCTGAGTGGGGGGGTGCTCATGTAATCTCACTGTGTACAAGTTGTACAAGTGACAATAAAGTATTTCAATCGATGCATTGCTGGTTGTTTAAGAGCAATGTGTTGAGTTGTACTTGCAACTTTTTTTGCAACGAGTTTAAGACTGTTTGCAGTAAACTTGGGAACACTTTCTTGTGGTGGAGAGCTCATTGACCTATACTGTGCACGAAGTCAAGATGGAGGAATTCTGCTCACATAACTCTAGTAGATGTGACCTCTGAAGGCAGTACTGAACTGCCTCTCCATCTTATTCCCAAAACGCGACCAGCCCTCGGTCTCAGAGTGAGGTTTCTTACCGATGACAAAGGCCTCCTTCGACTGCGCACCATGCTCGTTGTACCAGGGGGGCCGGCCGGCTGTGTAGATCGTCCTCTTGCTTGTCCGCAGCAGGGGCGGCTCCGACTTGCACTGGCTGGTGGTCCGTTTCCGCGGCGACCTCGTGGAACCCACTGCGGGGAGCAGCCTGTCCAGGGATTCGGCGCTGCTGTTGCTAAGGAGACAAGGAGAGGGAGAAGTCTGGGCCTCCATTAGCGGATGAGGTGGGAAACCTACCTCACAAGGTTGCTATGAGGGATTAAAGGAGGAGGGAAGGAGATAACCACGCATGCCGCCTCAAGCTCCTTAGCAGAAAAAGGCAGAGGTGTAAAAGGTGTAAGGTGTAAAAGGCAGAGGGCCTTCTTGGTGGTGGCACCCGCCCTGTGGAACGCCCTCCCACCAGATGTCAAAGAGAAGAACAACCACCAGACTTTTAGAAGACATCTGAAGGCAGCCCTGTTTAGGGAAGCTTTTAATGTTTAACAGACCACTGTATTTTAGTACTCTGTTGGAAGCTGCCCAGAGTGGCTGGGGAAACCCAGCCAGATGGGCGGGGTATAAATAATAAATTCTATTCTCTTCTAAATGTAATGAAACAAACAAATCTGAGCCTGTGCAGGTAACAGGGTAGCTGTAACAGTAGGGTGTGCCATTTTAAGGGGAATAATTTTTTTTGCTAATTTCTTCAGTGAGTTAAAAAAAGAAGAATGTTTTTGGGTGTGAGGAATTAAAACCTGCTATTCTTTTTGTGTCTGGACAACATTTAGATTGGTAAGTCTACGTCTGATGAAGCACAAAAGTTGTTTCAGCAAGCCAAAGAATTTCAGTTTTTCCTTCTGAGAACGTCAGGTGATGCTGAATCGTAACAATAAATAATAATAATAATAATAATAATAATAATAATAATAATAATAATAGATAATATAATACTCTGATTGCAAGTACCTGGCAATCAGTTTTAAAGATTTCCGTGCAATTTTACGCACGTTTTACTTTTACCAAGCGAACCAAAATTATATTAATTTAATCAAAATATCTTTTGAATTCCTGAGCCATGTTACAACTTTGTTTGTTTGCTTTTGGAATTTGAAAGTTGAAAAAAGTGAACATGCCCCATTGTAACAGGTACCTGTAAATTGCCCTGGGATGCTCAAATGAAGGGCAGTAGAAATAACCACCTGATCTCCTGCTTCAGGTGAGGGGCTCAAATCATCCAACCTGTCAGCCCCAGTGCTACAATTCCCAGTGGTTTCACCATTCATCCCTCTTCACAGGGAACTCTGGGAATTGTAGCTCTGGGGAGGGGACTGGGGAATCTCCTGACAACTCCCAGCACACTGAACAAACTACAGCTCCCGGGATACTTGGGTGGCCGTGGGGAAGCCATGACGGTTTAAAGCAGTATCATAGCGCTTTAAACATACGGTGCGGATGAAATTTTAAAAATTCTGGGAAATGATATATAATGAGTTGAAGAAGATGTTCAAAATAACTTTTACACACAAAAAACCGGAGGCATTTTTGTTAGGGATTGTAGGACAAGACCTGACAAGGAAAAGAAATTATTTATGTATGCAACAACAGCAGCAAGAGTCTTGATTGCACAAGGATGGAAGAATGAGGAAACCCAGACCAAAGAACAGTGGCAAGAGAAATGAATGCTGTTACCGGTATGTACTGAGTTGAATAGGATCCAAAATGCAGCCGTCTGATTGGCCCTAGAACAATAGGATTCAGAATGCAGCAGTATGATTGGCCCTAGAACAATGCAGCAGTATGATTGGTCCGCAGGAGCCACCCAATCCAGCTCCAGGTGGAAGTGAATCCACAACCTGATTGGCCTACAGGAGAATCCCGGAATTAGCCAATCACATGCAGCCCATTGTGTAAATAATGTATATAAAGCAGATATTGTGGGGGAACTTCCATTCCTCCTCACCACTATGAACTGAATAAAGAGCATGAAATCCACTCTCGACTCCCAGTATATTTCAAATGAACTATGCAGAACTGGCGAAATTGACATGCAAACTACAAGACAAGGACAACTGCGACTTTAAAGAAGAATGGGAACCTTTCACAAACTATTTAAAAAGACAACAAAATGAACTGGACTCCTTGGCAGGTTGTGAATAAACATACACAAATTTATGGACGGTCAACATAGTAGATAGATAATATAAGGATGTATAAAATTTTATAATAGGCAGAAGTTAAAGCTGGTTGAGAAATCAGAGAGAGGAGGTGAGGGAAGTCGTAGGCATTTGTTGGGGAGGTGGTAGAGAAAAATGGGGGGGGGAATAATAATGATTTGTTTGAATAGTTTGTCATGTGAAAACTGGTAATAATTTAAAAATAAAATAAAATACGGTGCGGAAGCCTCTGCCACAGAGGCTCTTGCAGCTTGTATTTCGAACCCTGCCCTCTGGCCGGCAGCCGAGGGGGCAGAGAGGGACACAAACGGCGTGTTTGGCAGCGGCCGGACCGCGGCGCTGTGATGAAGCTCTGCAGGCTACCGTCTCTCTGATATTTATACGATACGAAGCACTTGGCAAAGGTCAGCGAAGCAGGCTCTCTCAGCCATCAATCCCTGCGCGGTTTTGGGAGCAGGGCAGATAAACTTCCTCAACAAGCTCTTTCGTGGTTGGCAAACACAGGGCAGGCAGGCAGCCGCCCCTCTCCACCCCCAATGGACCCAGGCCAGCGGGATAAGCCGCTTGGAGCATAACAGCAGCTCATTGAGCCGGGGACAGGACAGGACAGGTTATTTATAGTTGATCTTTTCCCCTCGGCCGGCCTCTCTCTGCTCCGCCTCCCATTTTCCACCCTGGGCTCACATCCTCTTGCCAATGCACTGATGGCGACAGCAACACTGCAAAAGCGGGACTTTGTAAGAGTGCCCTGCAAATGAAAGCAGAGAGGGGGGACCCCTCCCCTTTGCGTACAGGTAAGGAGATCCAAGCCCCCCTACCCAGTAACTGCGGGGAAAGTTTCTCCCCTTTCCAGGATTATCTGGGAGTCAAAAATGTGGTCTCCAAGCCCAAAGTCAGGCTGAAATATTGAAGAAAAGAGGTGGTTGGGATTGTGTTCCTAAACCTGGGGTTGTTTTAGGGTGACCTCCTTTTCGAAACTTGAACTGGCCCCACACCTGTGCTTTTAACAGCAGCCTGCCGGGTGTCTTCTTGACGAGAGAAGCTTCGCCTGTTTGGTTTCCACATGCCAGGCTGCTGTGAAAAGGCAGAGGAGAAAAGATAAAGAGAGGAAGTCTTCTCTCTAGAATGGAAGTTTTCCCAGCCGTGGGGCACGATCCTATCCCGGTCATGGGACTGTAGGATTTGAAATAATAATAATAATAATAATAATAATAATAATAATAATAATAATAATAATTTTATTTATATCCTGCCCTCTCCAGCCAAAGCTGGGCTCAGAGCAGCTAACAACAATAAAAGTAACACAACATTCTAAAACCAATTCATTCTAAAATCAATTCAAAATCAAATTAATGGCAACCATTGGGCTAGAGTTCTATGAGGATTACCGAAGGAGGGGGTCACACTGTGCCTTGGCCAAAGACCTGGTGGAACAGCTCTGTCTTGCAGGACCTGTGGAAAGATGTCAAGTCCCGCAGGGCCCTGGTCTCTTGTGACAGAGCGTTCCACCAGATCGGGGCCACAGCTGAAAAAGCCCTGGCTCTGGTTGAGGCCAGCCTAACCTCCCTGTGGCCCAGGATCTCCAAGATGTTTTTATTTGCAGACCGTAAGGTCCTCCGTGGGCATACCAGGAGAGGCGGCCCCGTAGGTACGAGGGTCCTAGGCCGTATAGGGCTTTAAAGGTTAAAACCAGCACCTTAAACCTGACCCTGTACTCCACTGGGAGCCAGTATAGCACCAGGTGAATGTGATCCCGCGGCGAAGACCCCATAAGGAGCTTCACTGCGGCATTCTGCACCCGCTGGAGTTTCTGGGTCAGTCTCAAGGGCAGCCCCACGTAGAGTGAGTGGAACTTTCATTACACTGGTACAAGAAAATCACCCATGGTTTCCAGTGATGAAAGGGGCGTGCAGGCCACTTTTGCTGCCATTTTCTGGTTGTGGGTTTCCAGCAGCTCGTCCAGCACCCTGTTCTCACAGTGGCTGACCACGGAGAGAAACCTGCAAGCGCGATCCGAGTACAAGAGCCACCCTCTCCCCTCCGGCGGTTTCCAGAAAGTGTTCTTCACAAGCATCACTGCCTCCGGCTGTAGCGGCAGGGCAGGGCCAACATGTTGAACAGCCATTGATGGCTCTCTTCTCCATGAATTTGCAGTCCCACCACATGGGCATCGAAGCAGTGTCTGTCTCCTCCTCGGACTTACAGTGGTACCTCGGGTTAAATACTTAATTCATTCTGGAGGTCCGTTCTTAACCTGAAACTGTTCTTAACCTGAAGCACCACTTTAGCTAATGGGGCCTCCTGCTGCCGCCGCGCCGCCGGAGCACGATTTCTGTTCTCATCCTGAAGCAAAGTTCTTAACCCGAGGTAATATTTCTGGGTTAGTGGGGTTTGTAACCTGAAGCGTCTGTAACCCGAGGTACCACTGTAATTGGTGTATAGGACAGCTCTGCCTATTACATTAAGGACAGGTCATGTGTTTGGGTTTCAAAGCTGCACAAGGAGTACCAAGGGAAACAAAAGCAGTCACGAACTTCACTCCCCTCTTCTTATCTGATTGCTCAGGTTTTGCAAAGCTGGACAACCGTCTTGCAAAGTGCTCCCCCTTGCCTTTGATCTAGGAAACTCAACATCTGGAAAGCTCCTTGTAAGAGTTCCCTGGGTTCCCATAACGAAGTTACTACAGTGGTACCTCTGGTTGCGAATGGGATCCATTCCAGAGCCCTATTCGCAACATGAGCAGAACACAACCTGTGTCTGCACGTGTGCGGGTCACGATTCGCCACTTCTGCGCATGACGTCATTTTGAGCGCATGCGGCGAAACCCAGAAGTAACCCTTTCCGGTACTTCCGGGTCGCCGCGGGACACAACCTGAAAATTCGCAACCTGAAGCAAACATAACATGAGGTATGACTGTATCATTATGCATATAGTACTCAGCATTTGGCTTATTCCAGGGCCACTGAGAAAAGATTTTCATGCTCCCTTAAGGGAAAAGTATATGCCTGGAGCGGGGGCCTCATACAGAATAGTAGAGTGGGAAGGGACCCACAAGGGCCATCTAGTCCAACCCCCTCCAATGCCGGAATCTCAGCTAAAGCATCCATGACAGATGTCCACCCAACCTCTGTTTAAAAACCTCCAAGGAAGAAGAGTGCAGAACCTCTTGAGGGAGACCGTTCGACTGTCAAACAGCTCTTACTGTCAAAAAGTTATTCCTGATGTTTAGTACGTTTCCGAGCACAATTAAAAGTGTTGGTGTTGACCTTTAAAGCCCTAAACGGCCTCGGCCCAGTATATGTGAAGGAGCGTCTCCACCCCCATCGTTCAGCCTGAGGTCCAGCTCCGAGGACCTTCTGGCGATTTCCTCACTGCAAGAATCCAAGTTACAGGGAACCAGGCAGAGGGCCTTCTCGGTAGTGGCACCTGCCCTGTGGGAACGCCCTCCCACCAGATATCAAAGAGAAAACAACTACCAGACTTTTAGAAGACATCTGAAGGCAGCCCTGTTTAGGGAAGCTTTTAATGTTTGAGGCATTACTGTATTTTAATATTTTGTTGGAAGTCGCCCAGAGTGGCTGGGGGAGCCCAGCCAGATGGGCGGGGTATGTATGCATGTATGTATGTATGTATGTATGTATGTATGTATAAATAAATAAATATCCAGCTTCTCCGATGAGCAGAAGGGTGAGGTTATGACAGTGGTGTTCCCAGACCAAGGACAAAGATTGTACACCTGCTGAACGTTAACATGCGAGCATCCCTTTTCGAGTGCACACTCATTTGCTGCAACATGCGAACACTCTTCACAGCCGCATGTCACTTCAAGGTCTGCTCCAGCAGCTGCAGGAGCAGGGAAGTTGCTGTCCGTCAGAAATTGCAGGACTCTCAACTTCCATCAGCCCCAACCAGCAGGAAAAATAAGACAGGGGGGGTTGGAATCCAAAGGCTAGCCATCCCTTGTTCACTGTGTGTTGATACTGCCTGTGCGCACAGACAAAGGGCACATCCACTCTGTTGTTTCATGAGAATAGTCCTCTTCCTGCACCTCCTCCATTAATTCTCCGATGTCTGTATGACGTTCTTCTCCACATCACTGCCTTCCCACACTTTCCCCTCCTTCGATCCAGATTTTCACACAAGCCTCCTTTTCGGAGCGTCTATCCAGACACCGAATCAGTAGCCTGGCCTCCACTGAGAGCTACCCCAGGGACCTTCAAGCTTTGTCTTCTCGCAACCACTGGAGAGGACTGGGAAGTGACTAGGGCCCAAGAGCCAGAAAGCAGTGTTGTCGCTATGGTCCCTTGGTTTGCGTATACTACGGAGCAGTAAGAATAAATCAATGTACCCATAACAGCTACGGGTGGCTACTAGCCATGAGGATATGCTCTGCCGCCACAGACAGACTTTGATCATCTTTGGTAAAACGGTGCCCAGAGCAAGGCTAAAATTTGGTGTCCCCAAATGAATCTTCTCAATTATGGGTACAGTGGTACCTCTGGTTGCGAATGGGATCCGTTCTGGAGGCCTGCTCTCAACCTGAGAAGAATGCAACCCATGTCTGCGCATCTGCACGTGCGCGGGTCGCAATTCGCTGTGTCCGCGCATGCGCGCGACATCATTTTGTGTGCCTGCGCATGCGCGAGCGGTGAAACCCGGAAGTAACCCTTTTCGGTACATCTGGGTTGCCGTGGGACGCAACCTGAAAACACGCAACCTGAAGCAAACGTAACTTGAGGTATGACTGTATTCTCAATTTTGAATAATAATAATAATAATGCGTTCATACCCTGCCAATCTGGCTGGGTTGCCCCAGTCACTGTGAGCAGCTTCCAACACATATAAAAACGTAACGAAAGGTCAAATGTTAAAAACTTCCCTACACTGGGCTGCCTTCAGAACGCACCACCCTAAATCTGAAGCTGAGCACCACAGTTCTGAATACTTTGTTGTTGTTTAGTCGTTTAGTCGTGTCCGACTCTTCGTGACCCCATGGACCAGAGCACGCCTGGCACCTCTGTCCTCCACTACCTCCCGCAGTTTGGTCAAACTCATGCTGGTAACCTCGAAAACACTATCCAACCATCTTGTCCTCTGTCGCCCCCTTCTCCTTGTGCCCTCCATCTTTCCCAGCATCAGGGTCTTTTCCAGGGAGTCTTCTCTTCTCATGAGGTGGCCAAAGTCTTGGAGCCTCAACTTCACAATCTGTCCTTCCAGTGAGCACTCAGGGCTGATTTCCTTAAGAATGGATGCGTTTGATCTTCTTGCAGTCCATGGGACTCTCAAGAGTCTTCTCCAGCACCATAATTCAAAAGTATCCATTCTTCGGCGATCAGCCTTCTTTATGGTCCAGCTCTCACTTCCATACATCACTACTGGGAAAACCATAGCTTTAACTATATGGACCTTTGTTGGCAAAGGTGATGTCCTGCTTTTTAAGATGCTGCCTAGGTTTGTCATTGCTTTCTCCCAAGAAGCAGGCGTCTTTTAATTTCGTGGCTGCTGTCACCATCTGCAGTGATCATGGAGCCCAAGAAAGTAAAATCTCTCACTGCCTCCATTTCTTTCCCTTCTATTTGCCAGGAGGTGATGGGACCAGTGGCCATGATCTTCGTTTTTTTTGATGTTGATGGAAATCACAGAAGGGGAAAGTGGTTTTGTGTTCAAATCCTGCTTCTGGTTGACCACTGTGAGAACAGGATGCTGCGCTAGGTGGGCCATTGGCCTGATCTAGAAGAATCTTATCATAATAAATAGCCCACAATTTGCTACCGTTTGGTGTCCTCAACAGCTGCCTAAGCTGGCCGCCTCACTCTGCCTAATGGTCCCCCACTCCTGGCACCCCTGTTTTTAAAGGGTGGTGTCAGGTGACTGCCATCGGAACAGGGAAGGGAAGCTGAGGGGCTGCTGGGTTACAGGGAACCTCCGAAAATCTTGAGAAGCAGTTCCTCTTCCTGCGGTGGAGAAAGCCACACCTCCAGTGGGGAAGAGGGGAAAGGACCAGAGGATGCTGCCGGGAGCCTCAGCACCGCTCCTGGTCAAGCTGGCCAGGAGGGGAAGCACGCCTCTTCCATCGCCCACCCTGCACAGAAGTGTAAAATGCAAAGAAGGAAGGAAAAGGCTGGGGGTGACTAAGGTATTATGTTGTGGGAGGACCCAGAAACAACCACTAGATTCTGCTAGTGATTGAGGCAGCCATGAACTTGTGGTTCTGCACTGTAAATAGTTTGCACCAAAATAAAAAGGTAAAGGTACCCCTGCCCGTACGGGCCAGTCTTGCCAGACTCTAGGGTTGTGCACTCATCTCACTCTATAGGCCGGGGGCCAGCGCTGTCCGCAGACACTTCCGGGTCACGTGGCCAGCGTGACAAGCTGCATCTGGCGAGCCAGCGCAGCACACGGAACGCCGTTTACCTTCCTGCCGGTAAGCGGTCCCTATTTATCTACTTGCACCCGAAGGTGCTTTCGAACTGCTAGGTTGGCAGGCGCTGGACCGAACGACGGGAGTGCACCCCGCCGCAGGGATTCGAACCGCTGACCTTTCGATCGGCAAGTCCTAGGTGCTGAGGCTTTAACCCACAGCGCCACCCGCGTCCCACACTGTAAATAGTTTGCACCAAAATAAAAACCTGTAAAAGACAGGTCGGAGCCCTGACTGGTTACTCACGAGCTACCACCACTGCCATCTGACAGGTGGTTTTAAGCACAATGTTTGGGACCCCTCACAATTTACCAGGGCAGCTGCAGTGCATCTCTGTGAGCGCAACGCAGAGGCGCCTTGCAGCTCCGCACTTTCCTCCTAGCAACATCGATCCGCTGGAATATGGAATCAGGCACTGGGGGCCGGGGAAGCACACGCGCATTTCACCTGCAAAATAACCACCAACCGGCTTCCTCAGAGAGACAGAATAATGCTGCGGCGGCAATTAACAAGTGTGCTTTGTTCCCAGAGCGACACTGACATGAGCAAGCGACGACAACAACAGGAGGGAGGGAGGAATAAGGCAGGAATCCATGACGCTCGTTGGTAGCTGTTATTCATGCGCAAGGAGTTTGCTTCTGCTGCATCTGAACACTGGAATCTCCAGAGGGACACAGAGGGGACTTTGGGCACCTCGGCAGCACCAATATTTACAGGTAATTTGTGTGAGATGCCTTTGTCCCTGTTGCTGCCCCTACTTCCCACTGGTAGTGGGGTGGGAGAGCTGAGGGGCAGGGAATTCACATGTGACAAGCAATACGCCCCTTTGGTTTCAGATAGTACATGGGCAGACGAGTCTAAAAAGCCCAGGACACAGATTTTCACGGTCTTCTAGCAACCATGGTGGCTCGTTTCTCATAAGTAATGTATTTGGCATTAACTCTGAAAGGGTATACAGTGGTACCTCAGGTTAAGTACTTAATTCGTTCCGGAGGTCCGTTCTTAACCTGAAACTGTTCTTAACCTGAAGTACCACTTTAGCTAATGGGGCCTCCTGCTGCCGCTGCTGGAGCACGATTTCTGTTCTCATCCTGAAGCAAAGTTCTTAACCTGAAGCACTATTTCTGGGTTAGCGGAGTCTGTAACCTGAAGCGTATGTAACCTGAAGCGTATGTAACCCGAGGTACCACTGTATTCGATTCTGTCCAAACTAAGCCTCCTACAGCAAACTATACATCAGAACCGAGTATACGCCGAACGACCTGTTCTCCAAAATACTATTAATGGTGAAAAGGTCAAAATTCAGGAGACACCAACAAGGTTGCCGAAAATTATTGTCTCCGCTGTCAGAGGAGAAAGAAAGGGAATGAACTCTTGTATCAGAGACACCCACAAGCCAAATATGCAGTGAAAAAAATAGCTATTCATCAGAGAGTTGGAAGGTATGGCGTTCGCTAGGGCAAAGTGAAGTGATATCTTTAAAAATACTGTTATTTTTCCATCTTGAAAACAGGGGTGGGAAGAAACAACAGAAACACAAGCAAACACACACACACAAATCCATAAATAGACAAGTAGGATCTGCAACAAAATGTTGCAGTATGGAGTGTTTCTGTTCCTCCAGGATACTCCATTCCATTCCCCTCCTGCTCAGTTTTCCGTTCCGTCTCAAGCACAATCTGTCAGCATTCTGCAATAAGTAAGCATGCCCAGTTCCTCGTTTGGTTGTATTGCCCTCCCCCCACCAACTCCTGACTAATTATTTATTAAAAAAACCCAAACTTTTTTTTCTATTGCAAACTTTGGGATCCCCCAAGTTTGCAGATACTTCTCTCTTACGTGTGTGGGTGGGTCTATTCTGACTACACAAGCAATGGCACTCACAGCTTGAACATCAGAATTAGAGGGAACGATCATTCTCCCCACCCTCTGAGATTTAATCCGGAATAACATCCAAACCCCTTTACCATGCACCTGTTATCATCAGTACAGCGCAGAATAGTCTTTCGGCTCAAATGATGCATCAAAACCCACCTTTCATCTCCCCAGATAGCTCATAGGTCCAGTAAGGGGCAAGTTAAGAACCTTTCCACCTGCCTCCGGCTGACCAAAGGATGCATGTTTTATGAAGAGCACGTTCTCCCGCGGAAACACGTTTTGCTCCCTAGTTACCATTAAGGGGGTGGGGCAGTGAATCAGTTCACAAAGAAAGAACCAGCCCAGGTGAATGAAAGGCAGCACCCCCCCCAAAAAAAGCCCAGTTGCACGCACACACACACCCCGCATTGCACCCTCCCGGTATCTGCGAAACAGCCAGTTCTCTAATGCGCAGCTCCTGAAATTTCCAAAAACAAGTGTTTTGTTTTGCAATCCAGAAAGCGGATCTTCCCTCTCCTCTCTTCGCCACCCCCTCCTCTGTTTTCCAAGCCTTCTAAAAACTCGTCCATCCTGCATCCGAGAGTTAATTTACATCCGGAAAGGGGGGGATGGGACAAAAGCACTCACCTGCCTTCAGGTCCGAGGGCCCAGCAGCCAGAAATCCTGACCCCCGAATATACAGGGGATCTGTTCATCTCCCCCTAGCCAGAGAAGGGTCTGGGGTGACTGTGGAAGTGGCAGAAAGGCTTCAGGTGTTTTTGACTCTGGGAGAGCTGGCTTGTGGAGTGTGTGTGTGTGTGTGTGTGTGTGTGTGTGTGTGTCTCATCCCAGCCTCAAAGAATTCAGAGTCCCTAGGAAGTTGACTACATGCATTCTGGCCTTTACAGTGAAACGAAACGTGGGTCTCGCCACTCTGATCACAAGGGGAGGAAAGGGGTGGAAAACACCACCCGGGGGCTTGGGAGAACCTACAAACTGGTAGGGTTCAAGGAGACCCGAAAAAGTCCGGTGTGGTGTCAACAGCGAGAGAAGGAGGGAAAAGAGAGCCCTGCCCGGGGAACGAGAGAGTAGCCAACACGCATAAGAGGATAGCTTAACCTAGAGATTATGTTCATTACCTGATATTAATAGCACTGACTTTGTAAAGAGAGGAGGAGTCGCACGGCACAGCCTCCGAAGCAGCCCCTCTGCTCCGGAGACACCAAAACATGGCTGGCGGAAGGCCACAGGCAGCCGCTTCTGACATTTGGAGCGTGTCCGGGGCCTGGCGGAGAAGGGCAATGCACAAGAGAGGTGGGCCGACGCCTGGCATGGGAAGAGGGGGCAGAGGAAGGCTTTTCTTCCCTCCTCGGCACGAGAACGCCGGTGGAGCTGAATGTCGGAAGATCCGGGACATATAAAAGAAAGAGCATGAACTGTGGAACTCACTGCCACAGGACACAGGGGTGGTCAACAAATTGGATCGCTTTAAAATAGGATTAGGCAGCAATGCTTATGAGCACCAGTTGCTGGAAGCCACTGGAGGGGAGAATGCTCTTGGGTTCGAATCTTGCTTGTGGGTTTCCCACAGGCATGTGGTTGGGTCACCGTGAGAACATGATGCTGGACTAGATGGGCCAAGTTGGCCGGGGCAGATGGGAGTTGTAGTCCAAGGCACCTGGAAGGCGCCAGGTCTGGGAAAGCCACCTTAGTCCTACACTCCCAGATCCCAGGCGCTAATGTGAGCAGAGGAGCCTCAGCTTGTAATTATCTTGCTGCAAAGCAAATCATTAGCGCAGGGGCAGCTAATCTGCCCTCCTCCAGATTTTGCGGGACTAGAACTCCTGTCATCCATGAACATTGGCTGGCTGGGCTGGTGACAGTCCAACAACGACTGGGAGGCTGCAGGGAGGAGGTGGGTGGAGATGGGAGTTTTGGTTCTCTCTGTTTCTCAAAGCTCTCCAAGCAATAATAATTTAAAAAAAACCTCATGAAAATTAATCTGCATTTTAGTGTGAATTTCTCCTAACAAACATGATTTTACAGTGGTACCCTGGAAGGTTTGAATCCGTTCTGGAAGTTCGTTCGATTTCCAAAATGTTTGGAAACCAAGGCGCAGCTTCCGATTGGCTACAGGAAGCTCCTGCAGCCAATCAGAAGGTGCAGAAGCCCCGTCGGACATTCAGGTTCCAAAGAATGTTCACAAACCGGAACAATCACTTTCGTGTTTGCGGCATTCAGGACCCAAAACCTTCATCTTGCAAGTCGTCCGAAATCCAAGGTACAATTGTATATTCAGTTTAGCATGCACATTTTCAGAAGCAATTTTTCCTTCTACAATGCCTTGCAATATGTTATTTTCCCTGATATTGTCTCTGTCTCACACACACACACTTCCTCCTAACAGATGTGCTTTTGCAAACATTGCTTGGTTGGAATTTTGCATTGCAAAATTCGGGTAATTTCAAAGTTGGAAAGATATCTGTTTTGGAGAGTGCAAATCTGATAAGTCCACCTTCAGATGTGCCCTGAATCGAATTTCTCCTCCATGCTCAGCCTCAGGTTAAGCTACCCCAGCCTTGCATGTTCCTCCTTGAGGTGGTTGCATAAGCCCCAACGCAGGCCGTCCATCTGGGCCATCAAGACGTCTAAGAATAAACTCCCCTCATCGCCACCCAGTGCAGCTTCCTCACTCTGCACTCTCAGCGAATTGACTGGCTGCTTGCCCTCTCGGATAAGTTACAGCCATCACATGCCCCGGGGTCTGTTGTGGGAAACGAAACCCATCAGATACAAAGGGTGGATCTGCCTGAAAGAGGATGAGAACGCATTGCGGTAAAGAGATAGAAAGTCAAAAGGGGGGTTCCCGCAAGCTTTCCCCTAATGAAACTGTTATTGCAAAGAGAAGCACTGCAAACATGAAACGCTCAGTGGGCAACATAGCTGCTGGTACCACCCCACCACTGGCACGTTCAACTGGAGATACATTTTGAGAGCCCTGACAAATCGGGGTTCCAGTTGTACAGAAAGTCTTTTGCACACAGAGTGGATATGCCCACAGATTCTGTTCCAAATAAACAAAGGCAGCTTAGCAACAAACAGCATCTTGAAAAGCAGAGACATCACCTTGCCAACAAAGGTCTGTATAGTTAAAGCTATGGTTTTCCCAGTAGTGATATATGGAAGTGAGTGCTGGACCATAACGAAGGCTGATGGCCGAAGAATTGATGCTTTTGAATTATGGCGCTGGAGGAGACTCTTGAGAGTCCCATGGACTGCAAGAAGATCAAACCTCTCCATTCTGAAGGAAATCAGCCCTGAGTGCTCACTGGAAGGACAGATCCTGAAGCTGAGGCTCCAATACTTTGGCCCCCTCATGAGAAGAGAAGACTCCCTGGAAAAGACCCTGATGCTGGGAAAGATGGAGGGCACAAGGAGAAGGGGACGACAGAGGACGAGATGGTTGGACAGTGTTCTCAAAGCTACCAGCATGAGTTTGACCAAACTGCGGGAGGCAGTGGAAGACAGGAGTGCCTGGAGTGCTCTGGTCCAGGGGGTCACGAAGAGTCGGACATGACTAAACGACTAAAAAACAACAACAAGCAGCAAAGTGGTGAACCTGTTCCATTTTTAACAAAAAATGCTGCATTTTTAATGTTTGCTTATTTGCATCCCTCAGAAGGTAATAAATATTTCCTGCCACCTACAAAATAAAAAGAAAGTTGTAACTATCTCCACCATGGAGTCATGGTCTGATATTGTTGATAACCTGCTGTGCAGCTTAAAAAGCTAGTTGTTTGGAAAACTGAAGCCATGCTTTACCTATTATATCAGTAGACTTCTCCATGGTGCCAATCGG